AGGAATAACTGGAAGGTGGCAGATGTTAATTGCGGCCCATTATCAGTCACCAGCACATCTGGAAGGCCGTAGATAGCAAATAACCTGTGTAACACCCGAATGACCGCCTCAGACGTGGTCGAGGTCATTAGTTCCAACTCTACCCATTTTGAAAATGTGTCCACCACAATAAGGAAAGTGCGTCCCAAGAATGGCCCAGCAAAATCCAGGTGGATACGCAACCACAGCCCCCTGGGAATTTCCCACTCCCTTGCGGGGGAGGTGGGAGCCGCCGGCCTTGATCGTTGGCATTCTGGACAACTGGAGACCCAATTTGAAATGTCCTTGTCAATTTTGGGCCACCAGACATAGCTTCGGCTCAGGCCTTTCATTCGGACTATGCTGGGATGACTCTTATGTAATTGCTGCAGAATTGACGTCTGCAGCTTGGGGGGAACCACTACCCTATGACCCCATAGTAAGCATCCCAGGTGGACTGATAATTCTTGCTGACGGATTTTGTAGGGTACGAAAGGTTCACCCACCTTCCCTAACGGTCATCCCCTACCCACCCAGTCCAAAACCTGAGACAGGACGGGGTCCTGGCGGGACTGAGCAGCGATATCGGTGGGGGTCAAGGGGGTGCCCAGCTCATCGACCATCAGGACAGACAGAGCTGGCGCAGGGTCAACCACAGGCAGAGGCAATGGGCAACACCTGAGGGCATCAGCATGTGAAATGAGCTTACCTGGAGACAGTGAACCAGGGTGTATGAATAGTTCACTAAGAACTCTGTCCAACGGGACATCCTGGGAGACAGGAACTGTGGCGTTTGTCGGTGACCAGTTAGAAGCCCCAAGAGGGGCTTATGATCCATCACCAGCTCAAAATGGCAGCCATAGACGTAGTCATGAAATTTTTAGATGGAGGCAACAGCTGCCAAAGCCTCCCGATCAAGTTGACTATAGTTGCGTTCTGCAGAGGACAAGGTCCTCGAGTAAAAAGCCACGGGGGCCTCTAAGCTGTTTGGCAACCTATGGCTTAACACGGCCCCAACCCCAAAAGGAGAGGCATCAGCCGTCAACACTAGGGGCAGAGTTGAGCTATACTGCACAAGAACAGCCGAAGATGTGAGTAAGTCCTTCACAGCTTGAAAAGCCATGGAGGCATTGGACCCCACATCCACGGTGTGTCCTTGTTCAGTAATCGGTGTAGGGGCTCAGCCACCGTGGCCTTATGACGTAAAAATACACTATAGAAATTCAAGAGTCCCAAAATGGCTTGTAACTCTGCTTTACAAGTGGGTGTCGCAGCTTGCTTAATAGCCGCAACCTTAGAGGGGGTTGGATGTATACCCTTGGCATCAATCAAATACCCTAAAAACTCCACGTTTGGAACGCCAATCATACATTTGCTTTTCTTCAATTTAAGGCCAGATTCCCTGAAACGTAAGAGGACAGCCCGTACTCGACTGATGAGCTCATCTCAAGAAGACACAGAGATGAGCACATCATCGAAGTAGGGCACAACACCCGGTAGGCCATGCAATAGACGCTCCATTATATGAATGAATATTTAAGACAATGCATGATAGCCCAACGATTAAATCTTATTATAAAGCTGATACAAATAGCAAGACAGAGCACTTGTAAAAAAAAAAATGTGAAAAGGATATTAACCTGAAAAATTGTCTATAATAGTCCCTGCTTACTGGCTGCTTCATTTAACCATGTTTAGTTTTGACAACACCAAAAAAGTATCTGTATAACCAGTCTGTACATTTATAACCCATTCTGGCATTTCAAAATGGTGGGAATTAATGACCATGGCAGCAACTTGTGGTCCTATGATCACCAGTTGTGTGTTTCCACAATTAAACAAAATCAATAGAGAAGCTGGCAGTAAAATCACAAATCAGGATCATTTCACATAATAACCACAGGTGATTCACTTAGTGACCTCAAGAGAAGTGTCAGAGCAAGTCCATCACTGTCATGTGATATGTCATTCAGTGATCATAGCAATGACAAAGGTGTGGATTCCAATTATGATCGCTAAGCAAGGATTACCTGTAAACAAAAAACAGATAAGGTAGATAATAAGTAAATATGACACTTTTAATATATGCCATCTTATGGTCAGTAAGGGGCTGAAGAGTCAGTGCAGTGCATCAGATTCACACTTATGGACATCTTACTATTGCATCACTATCTAGACATTTCTTTTTTCTTTCTTATTGGCAATTATTAAGTCTGGGGTGTTACATGGCAGGTATTTGTCTGTTTGAATTCTAAATTACCAGAGTATTTTAGCTTCTTCATTTTCTACTTGTCTATTTTGCAGTCCTAACAGTTCTTCTTGCAGCAAATGGTATTTCCTTGAAGATCTTCCAATGCACCATTGTTGCTACTTTTCATGCCAATGTTTGTAGTCAGTCTATACCAGCGGTTCTCAACCTGGGGATCGCGACCCCTTTGGGGGTCGAACGGCCATTTCACAGGGGTCGCCAAAGCCCTTTCTCCCCCCCCATGCCTTCACTCAGCCTCACTCTCTGCTCTGTTGGATTGCCGGCCGTTCGCTTACCCCACTCCCAATCTATTGCTGCCTCCTGAGTCCCAGCTGATGGCTAGAGGAAAAAAAAAACTGCTTAAATTCTTGCGCGGGGCTTCAAAGGGCCGCCCTATAGCCAGTGGTGCAGCCGAACCATTTGTTAAATTGCTGTCTTGCCCCGCCCCTCCGCACCACTATTTATTGCCAATAAATAGTGGTGGGCGAGGGGCGGGCAAGCCAGCAATTTAACAAATGGTTCGGTGGTTTTTTTGTAATTTTATTGGCCCGCGGAGCTTCAGCATAGGCTAATTAGCCCTTGATTAGATCGGCTCCCGACTCTCAGCTGATTTGGTCCCAGCTGTTTTGCGGAGGGCTCTGCTGCTTCCTTGCAAAGAGTCCTGGAGCAGATTTTTTTTCCCCTAGCTATGCTGAAAAACAAAACCGAAACTAAAGCAGGCTGTTGGCTTTGCTGTTGCTGCAACGTTGAAAAATTAGCCAGGCAGATTTCTTTTCTTTTTCCTCACCAAAAAAGGTAGGTGCAAACAATGGGAAATTTAGGGAAAAAGAGGAGAGTTCAAGATTTTAAAACACAAAAGAAAAAAAGCTCTATTTAACTATGGAATTGTAATAATTGAGATACTATTAATTGTATATTGTGTTGAAAGCAGAAATGGTTAAGTTGTGGTTTGGAGGAATATATGGGGGAAATTATTTGGTTTATTATTATTGGTAAATATAATTAATTGATTTGTACGAAACTGAATTGCATGGAAATAATTGGAATATTCATGTTCATATTGATTAATATATAAAAAGGTAGTTATATAACTAATTGAATTTATATTAAACAACTGTAATATTACATAATTAACCAATGTGAGGATGGATATAAAAATAGATGACAATGGGAAGGGTTATAATATAGAATAGAAAGGAAAAATTGAATTTGATTAAGATTAGAGATGAGGATGAAGGGTAATATTGGTTTTCTACAAAAATAGATGAGGAATAAATATGGCAAAAAGGAAATATAGAAATTGTAAATTTAATTGAAATGACTAAACACTGTGTATAGGGACTACTCAGAGGGCTGAAAAAGTTATTTTTGACTGGTCCTCACACTTTTGACTAGATCTCGAATTTACGACTATCCTCACATTTTACGTTTTTTGCCCTATCTTATCACCATGGTGAAAAGCAGTAGTTGTGAAATGAGTGACATGGTTGTTAAGAAAGCTGCATGGGCATAAATGTGAGGATGGTCATAAGTGTGAGGACCAGTCAAAAGTGCGAGGACCTGTCAGAAATGACTTTTTTCAGCCCTCTGAGTAGTCCCTATACACATAGCCATGGCCACCCGGTCACATGACCAGCTAGCCACGCCCACCCAGTCACATGACCTCCAAGCCACGCCCACAAAATGAGCCATGCCCACAGAACCGGTAGTAAAAAAATTTAGAACCCACCCCTGGTTGGGGGTCACCACAACATGAGGAACTGTATTAAAGGGTCGCGGCATTAGGAAGGTTGAGAACCACTGGTCTATGCAATCTTCTTGTTGCAGCTTTTTCTCATTTATTAAGAGACTAACAGGGTTGGAAGAGATCTTGGAGGTCTTCTAGTCCAACCATCTGCTCAAGCAAGTGACCCTATGCCATTCCAAACAAGTGCCTTTCCAGTCTCTTCTACAGTGATGGAGCACCCACAACTTCTGAAGACAAGTCGTTCTGCTGGCTAATTGCTCTCACTGTTAGATAATGTCACCTTAGTTCTAGGTTGCTTCTCTTCTTATTTAGTTTCCATCCATTGTCTATAGAGAGGCATCCAAGTCGTGGTTGTCCCAGAGGTGCTTTTTCGAAAGGCAACTGGACTTTCTTGTACTTCCTTGAAGATGTTTCACTTCTCATCCAATGGATTCCATCCATTATTTCTTGTCTTGATTTCTGGTGCTTTGGAAAATAGGTTGACCCATCTAGTCCTCCTAAAATTGGGACATAACCTGTCTTAAGTAACAAGTTGTTAGTGTTTTTTTTTCCCCACCAACTAAATCACTTCCAGATTTTTTTTTTCATTGTTAGGAAAATAAAAAAGTAATCTTTTTGTATGCCGCCCTGAGTCTTCGGAGAGGGGCGGCATACAAATTGAATTAATAATAAAATTGAATTAATAATAATCTTATCATGTTCTGCCTTTTTGTTCGACTTTAATATTGCTAGATGCCTGGGCAGGGTATATTTGCTACCAAATTTATTATTACAGAGTTAAAATTTCAATATATCAAGGAAGATTAAAGGGGAAAAAGAGCCAGATGTTCTTGTTAACTAGCAATGTTTCTAGAACCAGCTTATTCTTCCACATCTGTGCACTGTTGATCATTCATTAAACTTTTCCTTTCATAGTCCCGCCTTTCCCCAAGAGACTAAATTATGAAATATTTTGGCACTTTAGTATTTAGGGAAGGTTGTTCCCTTTCTTTCTGTTTGCCTCCAACCACAAATTCTACAGAGGAGAAAAGACAACATTCAGAGAAAGCTGTATCTGTTTTTTTTTTTTTCTGCAAAGCAACTGAGAAAAATCAAAAGGGAGACTGACACAGCCCCAGAATTTCAGGTGAGATACTAAAATACTACTTGGGGCTGCCCTTGAGGACCACTCGGAGGCTCAGGCTCAGAGGCTTCAGCTGGTACAGAATGCAGCCGCGTGGGTTGTGATGGGAGGGTCCCGATACTCCCATGTTAAACCTCTCCTGCGCGACTTGCATTGGCTGCCAGTTGCCTTCCGGGTCAGATTCAAGGTGCTGATGATGACCTATAAAGCCCTACGTGGCTTAGGCCCAGGATATCTGTCGGACCATCTGCAACCAGCAACAGCTTCCCATCGCCCGGTGCGTTCTCATAGGGAGGGCCTACTCAGGGTGCCGTCAGCTCAGAAAATGTCGGCTGGCGACCCCCAGAGGTAGAGCTTTCTCTGTGGGCGCACCCAACCTTTGGAATCAACTCCCCTGGGGGCTCCGGTTGGCCCCTGACCTTCGCACTTTCCGCCGCGAACTAAAAACATGGCTGTTCAAATTGCCCAGCCTGGACTGATGGGGTTTTGATTATTTTTAATGTGTTTTATGTGTTTAATATGTATTTTTAACATGTTTTTATTGGATTGGGATTGTATTTCTTAATTGTTGTGAGCTGCCCCGAGTCCTATGGAGATAGGGCGGCATACAAATCAAATCAAATCAAATCAAATCAAATCAAATCAAATCAAATCAAATCAAATTTAAATTTAAATTTAAATTTAAATTTAAATGGTTAGAGATTTTCCCCGGGCCACGATGGGTGGAAAGGGAAGTAAAATCAAGAATCATAGGGGCATAAAATGTTTTTGAAGGCATCTAGGCCAACCTCCTAGTCAACCTTGATGAATGATCATAAAACCAAAATTGGAGGGGGCATTTGGATTATTGCATTCAATCCATTCCACAGGATCCCCAGTAGGATCTTTCTAGCTTCCACCTCACTTTTTCTAGAAGAGTTGCTCCTTCCGTGAAATTCAAATTTTTTTACTACAGGTTCTGTGGGCGTGGCTTGGTGGGCATGGCAGGGAAAGGATACTGCAAAATCCTCATTCCCACCCCACTCCTGGGGGAAAGATACTGCAAAATCTCCATTCCCACCCCACTCCGGGGCCAACTGGTATTTGCCAGTTCTCTGAATTACTCAAAATTTCCACTATTGGTTCTCCAGAATCTGTCAGAACCTGCTGGATTTCACCCCTGCTCCTTCCCTATTTTGACATCTAGACGCACTTCCCAGGTTGGCTCAAATCTACTTCCCTATAATTTCTGATCTCTTGGGTCTAAAAGATCTGGGAATTTCTCTACTCTTCTCTTTTTCTCTGGAACCCTGAAAGCGTGTTCATACTCAGCCTTTCCATTCTTTTGTCTTCCTGTTCATTTGATTCTTCTCCAAAGATTTTCTTGAAAGCTGGGAAATTTTAACTTAAGCAAACAGTGGCTGACATGAGTCACTTTAGAAGTCAATAGGTGGAGATTTTATTTGTTTTGTTCCAAAGGGTGCTTGATATCTACTTTTATTGATTCTTCTTTTTTTCTCCCTTTACTGCTCTGATTATTGTTTTATTGCTCTTGCTTTTTGATACATTCTTGAAGATTGATAAAGAATATTTTATAAAAGAAATCTTATAAGACAAGCTATTTTGTGCAGTTTAACCTCAAAGAGTCCACTGAAAGGGATGAAATATTAATACCCTGTTTTGCCCCAAATAAGACATCCCCTGATAATAAGCCCAATTGGGCTTTTGAGAGCATGGCAATAAGGCCAAGCGCTTATTTCAGGGTTCAAATAAATATAAGACAGGGTCTTATTTTTGGGGAAACACGGTAGAATATCCTTATTCATGTCCCTTTTTTTCAGTCTTTGACCCTCTTTATCTCCATGCTTCCAAATCACCGGGTTACTTTGAGACAACATGTCATTAGTACATCAGCAAATAGTTAAGGAATATATTGCCTTTGTTCTTTTTGATACTCAAAAAGAGTATCAATTTCAATTTCAATTTAATTCAATTTATATGCCGCACCTCTCCGAAGACTCAGGGCGGCTCACAATACATTTAAAATCCTAATAAAAAACATTTAAAAATTAAAAACATTAAAAACATTAAAATTCATTCATACCATTCAAGAGCGAGATCAACGGCCCCAGGCCTGCCGGAAAAGCCAGGTCTTCACTGCTTTTCAGAAGGCCAATAGGGTGGGGGTGGTCCGGACCTCAGGAGGTAACTGGTTCTAGAGAGCTGGGGCAGCCACAGAGAAGGCCCTCCCCCATGGGCCCACCAGCCGGCATTGTTTAGCTGACGGGACCCGGAGGAGACCAACTCTGTTGGATCTTACCGGTCGCTGGGAGCTATGCAGTAGAAGGCGGTCTCAAAGATAACCTGGCCCTGAGCCATGTAGGGCTTTAAAGGTAATAACCAATACCTTGAATTGTGACCGGAGACCAATAGGGAGCCAGTGCAGCTCACGGAGAATTGGTGTAATGTGGGTGTATCTAGGTGCACCCACGACAGCTCACGCGGCTGCGTTCTGGACCAACTGTAGTCTCTGAACACTTTTCAAGGGTAGCCCCATGTAGTGTTGCAATAATCTAACTGTGAGGTGACAAGGGCATGAGTGACCATGAGGAGAGCCTCCCAATCCAAGTAGGGTCACAATTGGTGCACTAGGCAAACCTGTGCAAAGGTCCCCCTAGCCACAGCTGTCAGATGTTGCTCTAATTTTAGCTGTGAGTCTAGGAGGACACCCAAATTGCGAGCCCATTCTGAGGGGGACAATTTCTCCCCCCCCCAGAACCAAGGATGGACAGTCGACATTGTCTTTAGGAGGCAATTACCCACAGCCATTCAGTCTTGTCTGGGTTAAGTCTGAGCCTGTTGACTCTCATCCAGACCCTCACAGCCTCCAGGCACCGGCACATCACATCCACTGCATCACTGAATTGATGTGGGGTGGAGATATACAGCTGGGTATCATCAGCATATTGCTGATACCTCACCCCGTATCATCGGATGATCTCACCCAGCGGCTTCATGTAGATGTTAAATAGGAGGGGAGAGAGGACCGAGCCCTGAGGCACCCCGCAGACGAGGAGCCTAGTGATCGACCTCTGTCCTCCTACCAACACTGACCGACCAGAGAGATAGGAGGAGAACCACCGTAACACGGTGCCTCCCACTCCCAGCTCCCTTAGTTGTCCCAGAAGGGTACCATGGTCAATGGTATCGAAAGCCACTGAAAGGTCAAGTAGCACCAAGATGGAGAAATGACACCCATCTCGGGCTCGCCAGATATCATCCATCAGCGTGACCAAAGCAGTTTCTGTGCTATAGCCAGGCTTGAAGCCAGACTGAAAAGGGTCTCGATAATCCGTTTCCTCCAATGACCGCAGGAGCTGAAGTGCCACCACTTTCTCTACAAACTTTCCCACAAAGGGTAGGTTGGAGACTGGATGAAAGTTCTTTAATTCTGCTGGATCCAGGGATCCATTTCATCCCTGTCCGTTAGAGAGAGAACTTGACTCCACTAAACTGACTTTAAATTTCCTTCAAATAAGCTCTTCTGTAACAACATTCCAATCCTAGTTTTTTTCAATGTCCATCTAGGATACAGGATACATCACAGCAGCATAGTCAATGTCTGGAGAACATGATAGTGGTTTGCACTCAGCCACTTAGGAATAGCCAACTTTCAAAGTTTATCTAAAGCATCTTTTATCAATCTAGGTCTCTTCAGAAGTTCTGGAAATCCAAAACCATATGGGTTTGTGCTGGTGGATAGTTTGAGATGCAAGTGTCAGTCTGATATAACTTCTAAGATACGTATTATTTTCTCTTGTAGGTGAATTTGATATTATATCTCAGATGCTGGCCTAGTCGGCATTAGTCTAAAAGTACATTTCTCCTATGTCATCTCTGGAACTGTCCAAGAAAGTAAGGAGGGTCCCTTTTGAGGAATTTGTCTTGCCCCCATTCCTTCTCCAAGTTCAGCTGCCTCTTATCTGGCCATTGCCTAGTCTGTGGCTCTTTCTTCTCTCTCCCAAGACCATTTCCACATACCATTACAATATTAACATTGGTAGCAGGGGTGAAATGCTCCCAGTTCGGACCAGATCGCCCGATCCGGTAGCAATGGCGGTGGGTGATTTGGAGAACTGGTAGCAAAAATCCCTGCGGCTCCCCCCCCCCCCCATGGCTGAGCCGCACGATCATCAGAGGCTTTTTTTTTTTACTTTTAAAAGCATTTTTTCTACAACCTCTTCCAACGAAAAAATGCTTTTAAAAGTAAAAAAAAAAGCCTCTGATGATCGTGTGGCTCAGCTGGGATTGTCAGAGGCTTTTCAAAGCATTTTTTAAAAAGCCTCTCTGACGATCCCAGCTGAGTTGCCTGATCAGCAGAGAGGCATTTTTTAAAAAGCCTCTCTGATGATCCCAGCTGAGTTGCCTAATCGGCAGAGGCTTTTCAAAGCATTAGAAAAAATGCTTTGAAAAGTTTTTTTTTTTAAAGTTGGCCATGCCCACCATCACATTACCCCCACCACCAAGCCACGCCCACAGAACCGGTAGTAACAAATGTTACATTACATTACATTTGGTAGACGTTTTTGCCAATTCAAGGATGGGTGAAGAGCCTTTCCATTCATCAGCAAGAGAAGTCAGCTCTTAAACTAATGTAACTTTTGTCTGAATATTAGAGTCTGGAAAACTTTCAGTTGCTTGTTTCCACTGCAAAGAGTGTAGCCTTCCTTAGAAATTCCCCTGGGCAGATTCTGAAGCAAGTTCCCTCCCTGCCTACCCTGTTCCCCCAAAATAAGACATCCCCTGATAATAAGCCCAATCGGGCTTTTGAATGTATGGCAATAAGGCCAAGTGCTTATTTCAGGGTTCAAAAAAAATATAAGATAGGGTCTTATTTTTGGGAAAACACGGTAATATTCCTTAGGAGTTCTTGCAAGGATTTAAATGTATATGTCTCTAAACATTATCTTTAAATTAGACACGAATGTGTTTGGGATGTATTTCAAATATCGACTACTACTTGTCAGTCTAAGGTGCCTTCTAGATGTCAGATATTTTCCATATTGGCAAAAATAGAAAAGTTCATTTCAGTGCTAGAAATTTCAATGACTGTGACCAAATCAAGATATTCATGCATCTTCTCCCTTCTTTCTGTGGCAGAGCTGATCATGCTGTTTAAGGGATTTGGCCTTGGGCTCTTCATAGTCCTGGCTGTGGTCTTGATCCTGGGCACCTTTGCTGCTGATTATCCAAAATTCCTGAGACAGCACTACAATAACCCCAAAAGCAACGTGCGCCAAAGTTACTGTAATGCAATGATGCAAAGCCGAGAGATGACCAGCCCCAATTGCAAGCCATTGAACACTTTCATCCATGACACAAAGAACAAAATCACTGCTGTGTGTGGAAGCGAAGGAACACCTTTTGGAAACGGATTGCGGCGTAGCCGGCGGCAGTTCCGGGTCACCACCTGCAGAATAAGAGGATCCTCTATTCTCCCTCCTTGTGAATACAGGGAAAACACTTCGCCCAGATATATAGTCATTGCTTGTGAGAACGGGTCGCCTGTGCACTATGAGGAAGGTCAGATTTAACAGTAATGCGAAGATGATCTGAGTGGATCAGATAGTGTCATCCTCAAGGTGGATGGTCTTCCATGGAAAAGATCTCATTTTCTTCTGATTCTGTGGCTCATTTCTTGCAGGCTTTTTCGTAATTGGTACCATTGTAATCTACCTAAATATTTGCCCTGCTTTCATTTTGCCTCTTTACCCTTTAGCCAAGCACAGAACCCTGAATATCCTAAATGTTATGTAAGCCCGCAATGATTAATTCCTCTACCAAATGCTTTTAAATAAATGAATAAGAAAGAGTTGCACTGTATCTCTGTTGTTTGTATAGCCTCATTTCTTTTTAAATATTTTTGCTTTTTTTCAAAGAGATGATGATCAGATTTATCCTGCATTAAGCTGACTTGCAGTAATTGCAGGCAGCTGGTGTTACTTAACAGTGCTTTAGTCTGCTGCTCCACCAAGGCTCTTATTCACCAAAGAGGTTGTAGAAAAAATGGTTTTAAAAGTAAAAAAAAAACAAAAATTGGCCATGCCCACCCAGTCACATTACACCACCAACAAGCCACGCCCACAGAACAGTAGTAATTTTAGATTTCACCACTGCTTTAGCTCTATTCACACAAGCCCTGATGAACCAGTGTCAGGCAATCCTAGATCTAGTGGCTATCTTAGAAAGACACTCAGGCCTTTCTTCATTGCCCAGCCATCTTGGAGGCGTTCCTCTGGCAATAACAAGGCCGATGTGAACCAGCAAGATGGCCGCCAAAAAGACGAAAAAGCCTGGCAGAGGGTTGCAGGAGTCTGTTTTCACTGACAGAGTGCTCAGGCCACCACAGGCACCCCTGACACGAGTGACATCGAGGTGGCCATGCCCACCCTGGCCATGCCCACTGCCTCCCCAAGGTCAAACACAACTCTGATGTAGCCCTCAATGAAATCAGTTTGACACCCCTGTCCTAGCCAAACTGTCCTGCTTTGAGAAAATCAGAAATTGAGTTTTATGCTATGTTGGCCAAAACTGGTGTGCATCACTATAGTGGCAACAATATTGAACTGGGAACAGCTTGTGGGAAGTACTACAGAGTATGTAAACGTGCTATAATTGATCCAGGTGATTCTGACATCATTAGAAGCACGCCAAAACAAACCAGTGAAAAATAAAATAAATAAATTTTAAATTTTGTGTAATTAAAAAAAAAAAACAAACCTCAGATGTAACAACAGCTGACACCACTGCAAACAGAATTGGGAAAGATTTACCTATGTTAATTCCATTTTTCCTTGTATCAAGCCAGGTGCAAACAACCAACGGCAACAGAAGCAACTATTTAGAATAGTTTCTTTATTATTGTTCACCTATAGACAGAACTCTGGTCAGATTAAAGCACAAATCTGCATCAGAATTAAATATATACCCTGAAAAGGGTTGGAGAGTGTCCTGCATACCAAGGACTCCAGGCTGAGCTGCCTCTTTGCTCTTTGGGAAGTTACTTCAAGGAGTTACCTCAGAGTAGTTTATTGTTCTCAAGATAGGAATCTTTCCAGACAAAAGGACAAGGGTGTATTAGATATACCCTTAAAAGGGTTATGGAGGATCCTGCTTTGTACCACCTTCCACCATGTTATGTCCTTATAAGGACATCCGCCCTGATTGGCTGCCAGCCATCGGGCGGGAGATTTGAATCCCTGTCAAGGGGCGGTGCGTCTGCCGGGAGCGAATATAAGGAGAGCTCCGGCAGCGCGCCAGCAGTCTTGACTCGTTACTTTGTAATGAATAAAAGTTGCTTAATGTATCGAGCTGGTCCAGTCTTCTTTTTCCCTGCGCCGGATCTAACACTGGCGACGAAGGACTAGAGAGAAGAACCTTCACAAGACTCTTGGCACGATCGCCCACCGAACAAATCACCACACCACAGCGATCTTACAGAATGGCTACCCCGCAAGCCCCGATGACCGCGCTGAACCCGTTCGACCCATCCCGGGAGAAGTGGAGGTCATACATGGTCCGATTCCGGCAGTTCCTGAGAGGCAATGGATACCAGAACCTCGATGAGGAGAGAAAAAGAGCCCTCTTCCTGGCTCATTGCGGATCGGACGTTCTGGAGATGGCGATTGACCTCGTGGCACCCAGGGACATCGAGGAGATGTCCTGGAACGACCTGCAAGAAGTCCTACAGGAGCACTATGCACCTACAGGCACCCCCATCGCAAACAGGTTCACCTTCCAGCAAAGAAACCAGTGGGAAGGTGAATCCATCAAGGAATTCGTGGCAGCGCTTCGCCAAATCGCTGCCAACTGCGAGTTCGACAATGTGGACAATGCCATCCGGGACCGCATTGTGTTTGGAATGCGAGATGTGGGGCTGCAGAAGAAGTTCCTCAGCCAGAAGAGGATTCCGCTCAAAGATGTCCTCGACGAGGCAACGGCGGCTGAAACGTCTGAGCAAGCAGCCGCCGCGATGGTAAAAGCAAGGGGGATCCATAAGATCCACAAGTCGGGCCCGACCTCATCAGACGAGGCAACCACTCAATCCGAGTCTGATGAGGAAATGGCCGTCCACAAGGTGTCCCGCCCCCCCAGGCGGGAAAACCCACAGCATGGCGACCGGGGAGAGCGATGCGGCAGCTGCAGAGGCGACCACCCCAGGGCAAACTGCAGATGGAGGGACGCGACCTGCCGCCGATGCCTGAAGAGGGGCCACATCGCAGAGACCTGCAGAGCCACAGATCCAGCCCCGGAGCCACCCAGACCACGATTCCGGGAAAATCGCAAAGATAACCAGAGGACATCCAAACGGTCCTCAAACCAGTCCCGGCGCGGGGAGGAGGAATATCCCCGCAACAGAACGGTGCACCAGACCACCACCATTGCTCACACAAGCGACGAGGGAACCACGAAGTTCCACGTGACGCTGCTAGCAGAGGGGTCACCATGCAAGATGGAGGTAGACTCTGGATCCGCCTACTCCATCATGGACTGGCAGCACCTACAGCAGCTGAACCCGGCATACAAAAGGACCCAGCTGAAAAACCCGAAGGCGAGACTCGTGGACTTCAACGGGAATCCCATTGAAATCCTAGGCAGAGCCACAATCCGGGTGAAGTACAACGACTTCAACGGAAAGCTACCCATCACCATTGTACAGCACAGCCGACCGAACCTGTTGGGTGTGGAGTGGTTCAAGCCGCTGGGACTTTCACTTCAGGGCATCCACGAGATCCGCAGGGACGAACTCGACTCCATCATCGAAGAGTTCAAAGAAGTCTTCGATGGTAAGCTGGGGAAATTTGTGGGGAGGCCAATCTCCTTTAATCTGGACAAGGGAATCACCCCAATCAGGCTCAAGCCCCGACGAGTTCCATTTGCCCTGCGGCCCAAAGTAGACGAGCAGCTGGATAAGCTGATTGCCCAGGGCGTCCTGGAACCGATCGATCATGCCTCATGGGAGACCCCCATTGTGACCCCACTGAAGCATGATGGGTCTGTGCGCATCTGTGCTGACTACCGTTGTACCATCAACAAGGCGTTGGCACAGAGCGCATACCCAGTCCCAGTGGTGCAACATCTGCTGCATTCCCTGGGATCTGGAGCAATTTTCGCGAAACTGGACCTGGCCCAGGCTTACCAGCAACTGCCAGTGGATGACAAAACGGCGGAGGCTCAAACAATTGTCACACACAGGGGGGCATTTAAATGCAACCGCCTCCAATTTGGAGTCAGCGCTGCCCCTGGCATCTTCCAATCCATGATGGAACGCCTTCTCCAAGGCGTTCCAGGGGTGGTGCCTTACTTCGATGATGTGCTCATCTCCGGTGACTCAAGAACCCAACTCCTTGAAAGGCTCAGGCTTGTCCTGCAGCGGTTCAAGGCCAAGGGTTTGAGGGTCAGGCGGGACAAGTGCATCATAGGGGTACAGGAAGTCGAGTTCCTGGGCTTCCTCATTGATAGCACAGGCATCCACCCCACCAAATCAAAAGTGGAAGCAATCCATGAAGCTCCAAGCCCAAAAAACAAAATGGAGCTTCAGGCTTTCCTTGGGTTGCTCAACTTTTACGCCATTTTCTTAAAACAGAAAGCCACAGTTTCTGAGCCACTCCACTGCCTGCTGGGAAAATCGGCTTCCTGGAAGTGGGGCCAGGAAGAGGAAGCGGCATTCCGGGCCATCAAAGGACTATTGACGTCCAAAAGCGTCCTCATTCAGTACAGCGAGACGCTCCCCATCAGACTGACCTGCGACGCGTTGCCTTACGGGGTGGGGGCAGTCCTCAGCCACGAACTGCCCAATGGCTCGGAAGCCCCAATCACGTACTTCTCAAAGACTATGTCCGGCGCAGAACGGAACTATAGCCAGCTGGACAAAGAAGCCCTGGCCATCGTGGCTGGAGTGAAGCGCTTCCACGAATACCTCTACGGAAGAAGCTTCACCATAGTCACAGACCACAAGCCTCTCCTGGGACTCCTCGCAGGCGACCAACCAACCCCGACCTTCATGTCCCCAAGAATGACGAGATGGGCAATCTTCCTAGCTGGCTACTCCTATAGGCTCGTGCACCAGCCAGGCACAGCCATAGGAAACGCTGACGCCCTCAGCAGATGCCCGTCGAAGAAGCCGGTCGAAGACCCAGCCCCCACGCTCCACCTACTGCACATTGATGACGACGCCAGCTGCCCGGTGTCATCCGCAGATGTGGCCGTCCACACCCAAAAGGACCCCACACTCCGCAAAGTGAAATCCTGGATCCTCAGAGGGTGGCCATCGGGAAAGCCAGAGGAAAGGTTCAGCCCGTTCGCCAGGAAACAGGAGGAGCTGTCCACCATGAAGGGCTGTCTGCTATGGGGAGACAGGGTGCTGATTCCAAGCACTCTGCAACGGCGAACGTTGGAGACCTTGCACAAGGGGCACCCGGGCATCGTCCGCATGAAGGCACTGGCACGGAGTTATGTCTGGTGGCCCTCCATGGACAAAGACATTGAACAATGGGTCTCCAGATGTGACCCGTGCCAAGAAGTTCGCCCAGCGCCGCCGCAATCCGAGGTCGCGAAGTGGGAGACCCCCAGCAACCCCTGGTCGAGGGTCCACATTGACTTCGCGGGTCCGATGCAGGGGCGACACCTCCTCATCGTGGTAGATGCCTTCTCCAAATGGCTCGAGGTGGTGCCCATGGCATCTACCACAACGGACGCGATGATCCGAGCCCTGCGCCGTCTCTTCGCCACTCATGGTCTACCGGATGTGCTGGTCTCAGACAATGGCCCCCAGCTCACATCCTTGGCCATGGAGTCCTTCCTGGCGGGACTGGGCATCCGCCACGCCCTGTCCGCCCCTTACAGGCCGGCCGGAAACGGACAAGCGGAACGCATGGTCCGACTGACCAAAGAGGCCCTCACCAAGATGGGCCCGGGGGACTGGCAAGAGCGCATAGACAATTTCTCCTCACCCAGCACATCACGCCACACGCCACCACCCACAAGAGCCTGGCCGAACTGTTGATGGGCAGAAGGTTGAGGTCACCCTTGGACCGGCTGCACCCCCAATACAGCCCGGAAGTGACCGCAACCGCCAGCCGCCTGCTTCGTGCCTTCAGCAACGGAGATTCAATTTTCGCGCTGAATTTCAGCGGCTCTCCTAAGTGGCTGAAGGGGAAGATTGCCAGCACAACCGGCCCCAAATCCTACATCGTCGAGTTGGAAGATGGACAGTTCGCGAGACGTCACATCGACCAACTCCGAAAAAGGTGGGGGGGAGCGCATGAAAACCAGCCTGACGAGGGAGGCCTACAACACCCCGATGAGGTAGACCTCCAACACCCCAGCGAGGTAGGCCTACCACACCCAGACCCGGTAGGCCTACAACAACCCGGCGAGGTAGGCCTACGACACCCCGACGAGGTAGGCCTACCACACCCCTGCGAGGCAGAGCAGCACCACCCCGTCAAGGTCGGCCCAGCCCACTACCAGATGCTGTCACGCCGGCAGCCCAGCGAGGTAGACCGGGGCCAACCGCACGGAGGATGGCAACAACAACCCAGCCAGGTGGGCACCGGGCACAGCAAGGCCAGGGACCACCAACCCAGCCCGCAGGTAGACCGGGACCTGCCCAGAGGAGGAGCAACGCACCCCACCAGTTACAGCAGCCCATGCCAGCCCAGCCAGGGAGACTGCAGTTCAAGGCGAGTAGACCGGGACCCAGCCAAGACGGGCAACCCACGACCCATGGGCGAGGGTGGCACACAACTCACCGACGTGGGGGACCCCCGCCCATCACAAGAGACAGCCAAGAAACGACACCCCGACCAGGATGGCCCCAGGCACCAACCAACGGTAGACCAGGGACTAGGGGGAAGGGGAAGCCGACAACAACCCGGCCAGGGAGACCTGCACCACCCCGGCAGGGGAGACCTCCGCCGCCCTGCGGAGGTAGCGCCGCAACAACACCCCGACCAGGTCGACCACCGCCAGCCAGACAAGGTAGACCGACGCCAGCCCAACCGAGGGGACCAACGCCACCCCTGCAAGGTCGGCCGGCACAACAACAACAACGAGAGCCAGCACCACCCGAACCGAGCGGAACCGCCACCCGAGCGGCAGCAAGCCGGACCGAGACCGAACCACAGCGCCCGGGAGACCAGGGAGGAGCAAGCAATGGACTTACCGAGACTCAGACGCTCTTCCCGGGTCGGAACCGAGCAGCCGAGGCGAGGCGAGAGATCCACAGGACAGGAGGAAGACCACCAGGACCAGCGATCCAAGGTCTGCGGTCCGGCCGGAGGCGCTGGGGGTGGCCCCGCTCACTCGACAGCCGAACCGAGCCCGGTTCCGGAGAGGGAACCAGGAGACGAAAGAGCCCCGTCCTTCCAGGCCGGAGACGGAGGAGAAGTGAGACTGCGCAGGTCAGCTAGGGTGCCGAGGCGTCCGGCGTACCTGCGCGACTACGTAACGTTTGTGAATGAGATTGACATTTCGGACTAAGGGGGGAGGAGTGTTATGTCCTTATAAGGACATCCGCCCTGATTGGCTGCCAGCCATCGGGCGGGAGATTTGAATCCCTGTCAAGGGGCGGTGCGTCTGCCGGGAGCGAATATAAGGAGAGCTCCGGCAGCGCGCCAGCAGTCTTGACTCGTTACTTTGTAATGAATAAAAGTTGCTTAATGTATCGAGCTGGTCCAGTCTTCTTTTTCCCTGCGCCGGATCTAACACACCACATATCACCTCTGTGGTGTAGCTGTAGGTGAGGGGGGTAGAAGTAAAGAAACAGGGTTTTGAACTATTTTCTAGTTTGCTTCTGTTCCAGCTTGGCTTTTCAGGGACTATCCCCACACAGGATAGGCACATGGTACAGTGTTTGCACAGGGGCTCAGCTGTTCCTTAAACCACCAAAATTAAATTAACCCTTTTGCTTTAGTACCAAACCATGGACTAGCCACTCCAGCTGGGCTAATATAATGTGCTGACTATACTTATTTATTTTATTTATTATTTATTATTTAAATTTATATACCGCCCTTCTCCCGAAGGACTCAGGGCGGTGAACAGCTGAAATTAAGATACATATAATGTAAAAGTTAAAAATAACTAAAATAAATTAAATCGATCAGCCTCCCAATTTAAAACCCCACATCTATACAATTAAAAAAACTAACCCATAAGACCTTTTAGGCTAGGCCGGCTTGGTGGAATAAAAAAGTCTTCAAGGCCTTACGGAAAGTATGGAGGTCTGGGATCAGTCGTATTCCGGGAGGGAGTTTATTCCAGAGGGCAGGTGCCCCCACAGAGAAGGCTCTCCCTCTGGGGGCCGCCAGCCGACATTGCTTGACCGACGGCACCCTGAGGAGGCCCTCTCTGTGAGAGCGTATTGGCCGGTGGGAGGTTATTGATTGCAGAAGGTGGTCTCGTAAATACCCTAGCCCTAAGCCAGGTATATATTAGCAATCTACAGCGGATGCTAAGCAGCTTACAGCACGTAACATAACACCATAGTAAAATAATAACATCATCCGTTGTTAACCATTACAGGTAGTCTTTTAGAAATTCTGTTTATACATGGAACCACTGATCAAACAAAGATTACTGTCATCATGTGCTTTACTGCTCAACTATTTTAACTGTAACAGGAAACTCTTACTTAGAACAAAAAAGCATAAAGTATGTACGGTAGAGCCAAATTTGAAACACTGCCATCTACTGGCTGAATACTACTGTAGTTATTGCAAAAAATACATTCCAACAATGAATTCCAACATAGCCCTTGACTTGCAAACATTTGTTTGGTGACCATTCAGTTATAATGGCACTGAAAAAGTGACTTATGTCTGTTTTCACATTTATGACCATTGTGGCATCTCCATGGTCACGTGATCAAAACTGGGATGTTTGGCAGTTGGTTCATATTTATGATGGCTGCAGCAGTGGTGGGTTTTAAAAATTTTTTCTACCGGTTCCGTGGGTGTGGCTTGGTGGGCGTGACATGGCTTGTGGGTGTGGCTTGGTGGGCATGGCAGGGGAAGGATACTGTAAAATCTCCATTCCCTCCCCACTCCAGGGGAAGGTTACTGCAAAATCCCCATTTCCTCCCAATCAGCTGGGACTCAGAGAATAGATGGGGGTAGGGCCAGTCAGAGGTGGTATTTACCAGTTCTCTGAACTACTCAAAATTTCTGCTACCGGTTCTCCAGAACTGGTCAGAACCTGCTGAAACCCACCTCTGGGCTGCAGAATCCTTGGATCAAGTGAGCATCTTTGTCTGCTATGCAGATTTATTATTATTTTCATCCAAGGATGCAGCTTAAATTTTTTCACTGTTAGCTGTACATAAATCCCATCCCCAGCAGTCCTCCTAAAATTGGCATGTAACAACTGTTGAGTAACAAGTTTTCCACATTTTTTTTTCTCACCCACTAAATCAATTCCAGATGTTTTTCCTTCCCATTGTTAAGAAAGACAGAAAAAACATTAAATTAACATGTTTTCTTTCACTTTGACAGCTGCAGGACAGACTATGCTTATGACCTAATTTGTTATTACAGAGTTAAAATTCCAACACATCAAGGGCAATTAAAGAATTGGGCGTGATTTTCTTGATAACAAGCAATAACTTTTTTTAGAACCAACTTTCCTTTTTGATGGTCTCTCGCCTTTCCACAAGAGGCCCAATTGCAAAATATTTTGGCACTAGGATTTTCGTGGAATTTGTTTTCTTCCTTTCTCTTTGCCTCCACCCATCTCTACAAGGGATAAAACGCAGCTCACAGAGAAAGTCGTGTCTGCTTTTTTTCCTGCAAAGCAACTGAGAAAAATCAAAAGGGGGAGGCATCCAGCCTCAGAGTTTCGGGTGAGTTCCTAAAATGTCTAAAGGTTTTCTCTGAAGCATGGTGAATAAAGGGGGAAGATAAATCAAGAATCAGAAGGAACAGAAAAAATGTTTGAAGTCATCTAGGCTGACCTCCTGGCCAGTCTTAATGAACAATCAGAAAAGTTGGAAGAGGCATTTGGATTCTTACATACAGTCCATTCCATAGGATCCCCAACTACATCTTTCTAGCTTCCACTTCGGTTTCTCTAGAACAGAAGTTGTTTCTTCCCTATTTTGACATTTAAATGCATTCCCCAGGTTTGGTTCAAATCTACTGTAATTCCTGCATACTGTCTGGAATAATTGGACTAGAAAATCTGAAAAGTTCGTTCTACCCTTTGTTTGCATTCAAACTCTGTTTTTCCATTCCTTTTTTTCTTTCTGTTCATTTGATTCTTCTTCAAATACCCTCCTGAAAGCTTGCGATTTTTAAGTGTAGGAAGAAAAATCTATCTGGTTCAGTTCCAAGCTGCAAATAAAATGGAGACTGCTTAAAAAAGAAAGTTTTTTGATAAACAGGACCACAGTGTGCAGTTTTGGATCAGCTGACAAATTAGTTTTTGAAATACTGCAGGGATTGTGCAGTGTAGTGAACCTGGTGTCTTTTACCATTTCAAGGGTAGTGGGTTAATCCTATTATGTCCTAAAAGGTCATGTCCTGTCCTTAGAATCTGGATGGAGGAAGGATGTAAATTTTAATCTCATAGCTGGAGGTAAAGTTATTTTGTTTGTTAATAGGCTGGCCCAGGATTTCTTAATGCGCATCTGCTGTAAGAAAGACTTGGAGCTGCTTTCTGCCTCTAAGAACATGTTTCTCCATTTCACCTTTGGGGAAGTATAATTATTTTACCTCTTTTAATATCCCCCAAAATCAGGGGGTGAAATTCAGCAGGTTCTGACCGGTTCTGGAGAACCGGTAAGTGGAAATTTTGAGTTGTTCGGAGAACCAGCAAATACCACCTCTGGCTGGCCCCAGAATGGGGTGGGAATGGAGATTTTGCAATAACTTTCTCCCAGGAGTGGAGAGGAATGGGGATTTTGCAGTATCCTTCCCCTGGCGTGGGGAGGGAATGGGGATTTTGCAGTATCCTTCTCCTGGATTGGGGAGGGAATGGGGATTTTGCAGTATCCTTCTCCTGGAGTGGGGTGGGAATGGAGATTTTGCAGTATCCTTCTCCTGGAGTGGGGAGGGAATGGAGATTTTGCAATATCCTTCCCCTGCCATGCCCACCGAGCCACACCCACCAAGCCACGCCCATAGAACCGGTAGTAAAAAAAATTGAATTTCACCACTGCCCAAAATATTTCATTCTCTAGGAATGGGGGGTGGGGGCCTTCCCACATAAATTCAGCCAACAATGCTTAATATGAACTATTTCACAGGTCAATAAATAGAATTTTATTTCCTCTTTTTCAAAGGGTGCTTTGATATCTACTTTTATTGATTTTTCCCCCTTTACTGCTTTGATTAATGTTTTTAATTGCTCCTGCTGTTAGACATATTTTTGAAGATTGATGAATATTTTATAAAGAAATCTTGTAAGACAAGTGATTTTGTGCAGCTTAATCTTAAAGGGTAGAGAAAAGGGGACGAATGGTTAATACAAAATCCTTAATAGTGTCTTTTTTTTTCTTTCTTTCAATCTTTGGCCTACTTTCTCTCTCCTCCCTTCCAACTCAGAGTTACCTCAGTGGTAAGTTTCAAAAATTTTTACTATCGATTCTGTGAGTGTGACTTGGTGGGCATGGCATGGCTTGGTGGGTGTGGCTTGGTAGGCGTGGCAGAGGAAGGATACTGTAAAATCTCCATTCCCTCCCCACTCTAGGAGAAGGTTACTGCAAAATCCCTATTTCCTCTCGATCAGCTGGGACTCAGGAGGCAGAGAATAGATGAGGGCAGAGCCAGTCAGAATTTTTACTACCGGCTCTCCAAACTACTCAAAATTTCCATTACCGGTTCTCTAGTACTGGTTAGAACCTGCTGAAACCCACCTCTGAGTTACTTGGATATAAAATTGCCAGCAGTGCATGAGGAAATACTCCATTTATTTCAACAAGATCAAAGTCAATAAAAATAAAAATGTTGTTAAACTGGTATGCAGTAGTAGAGTAGTAAGGAAAATATCATCTCTGTTCTTTTTAATACAGGTAGTCCTTGGCCTATGATCACAACTGAGGCCAAAATTTCTGTTGTTAAGTGAGGCAGTTGTTAAGTGTTAAGCCCCATTTTACAACCTTTCTTGCCACAGTTGTTAAGTGATTCACTGCAGTTGTTAAGTTAGTTAAGTTAGTTGTTAAGTGAGTAACACAGTTGTTAAACAAATCTAGCTTACCCATTGTCAAAAGATCGCAAAAGGGGATCACATGATGCCAGGCCACTGCAACCTTCACAAATAGGGGTCAGTTGTCAATTTTGACTGAATTTTGATCACTTGGTTGAGAGTGATGCTGCAATGGACATAAGTGTGAAAAATGGTCATAAGCAGGGGTGGGTTCTACTTACCTTTACTACCAGTTTGCAATGGGATCATGCATGCTCTCACTTTGCTCGCATACGCGCCTTCTGCATGTGCAGATCGCCGATGATGACATCCAGGGTGGTGGGCGCGGCCTCCCACCGGTTTTACTACCGGTTCTTGCAAACCGGTCCGAACTGGGGGCAACCCACCACTGGTCATAAGTCACTTTTTCCAGTGCTGTTGTAGCTTTGAATTGCCACTAATTGGACTGTTGTAAAGTCAAGGACTACCTATAATCAGTTGTAATTTTGGACATTGGTTTTGCTTTTGCCACGGACCATTCTAGGAAAAAAATATACTCCGCTGAATTGATGATTCATTTCCTTCCTAGAACCTATTCTCTTGTAACAATCTTTTTTTGAATGTCCACTTAAGACGAAGGGTATCGGAGCAGCTCAGCCAATGCCTGGAGAACATGGCAGTGGTTTGCATCCAGCCAATTAGGAATAGCCAATGTTTATCTAAAACACTTTTTGTCAATCTAGGCCTTTTCAGTAGTTCAAGAAGTCCAAAACCATTTGGGTTTCTGAAAATGGATAGTTTGGGGTGCAAATCTCACCCCGATATCTATGGAGATTCTCAGTCATCCAGGTCATGGTTGTCCCAAGTGCTTTTTCAAGAAGCATCTGGACCATCCTGATATCAATTCTGTGACCTGTATTCTATTCTCTTTTAGATTTAGTTGACACCATGCCTCGGATGTTGGCCTATTCGGTGTTGGCACTCTTTGTGGCATTGCTGATGGGATCCTTGGCAACTCTTGTCCGGAGAGAAACCCGTCATGGCAAATTCCACCGGCAGCATGTTGCCGCAAATAACGGAATGAATCCCCGGGTCTATTGCAACATGATGATGCAACAAAGAGGAATGACGAACATCAAGTGTAAACCTTCCAACACCTTCATCCATGGGGAAGCCACAGCAGTGGATGCCATCTGCAACGATGGGGGGACTTACTCAAGTGATAATTTCTATGACAGCAATAGCGTCTTTGAGCTCACCGTTTGCCGTTTGACAGGGGGAGGAACCACACCTCCCAATTGTAACTACCGAGGTAGGGTGAGCACCCAACAGATCCGAATTGCCTGCGTAAATGGCCTGCCGGTGCATTTCCAACAAGCTCTTTAGAAATATCAATAACCATGTTTGGCTAGTTAGGGATTCTATATCTTCAGCTGCTTTAGAAGCCAAGAGGATTTCCTATTTTTACTGCAATGGTGTATTTCAATTAAAATTTGCTCTTTTTTCTCTCTCATTTCTTTCTACCTGCCTTCCCCTCTTCTTCAACTGTTTTAGACAAGCTGGGGGCCTCCAAATAGATTGGGCCTGTGATTCCTCACGATTCCCAGTCAGTATGGCTGACAGGGACTCTGGGAGATGTAGTCCCAATGCAATTGTGGGGATCTGAGCTGTGGCAAGTCTTCATTTGGTCACCATATCTGGACTTGCTGACCACAAGATGGCTGCAAAGTGATACAGAAAAATCTGCTGGGGAATTCTGGGTGTTGTAGTTTACACGTCTTACAGTGGTCAGGTCTGAAAAATAGCCAGGTCTGAAGTTTTTGCTGTGATCTAATAGACATTCAACCCAAATATGGCCACAGAATAATTTCAGTCTCTCTTTTTTTGTTCTGCGCTGCCTTCTAGTGGCTCTGAATCAAAATGACTGATGTATCCATCAAAATGTTAATATAGCTTCTCTATCCTCATAATATTTCTGGGGTTTTTTTTGCCTTCTGAGGAAAGTTGAGGCTAATAATTCTGCACAGAAAACAGGATATTGGAGTATTTAGCATCCAGCCCAAACTAGCATTCTTCAGCTATGTGACTTAAATATCACAACTTCTCGCATGACATGTGAGAAGTCATGATATTTAAAGTGCTACATGCCCAAATTACATTTATAGAGTAAGAGGTTTTGCTAGGAAATGTTTTGCATAGCCATCTTTCATTTTAAAATAGACCATTTGCTTTCCTTCCTGGGAAAATGTGTTTTGAAGCATAACACTGGTCTGTGACCATAATAAAAATTGAAGGATAATTTTAGGTACCCGGAGAAACAGAGGTGCTCCGAATTTCTTTTATAAATATAAAAAGTACAAATTCAACTAGAATTAATTTTACTTTAATTCAATTAAAATATATTAAGTAAATAAAAATTTATTTAAATTAATTTTAAAATTTCAAGTTAAATTAAAATTTAAGGCAGTTTTCTTTCAAAAAATAATTTTCTTAAAGAAATAGATTTTTTTTTCTTGTTCAGATTGATTCCTGATCACCTGAAAGGTTCTGTAAGCTAATATGTTTTCACCCACATCACCAAATGTTTGATGGAAAATCAAGAATGAAACTGTATGTTATTATTTCTTGGATTGATGGAAAGTGGAAAATATCAATTTATACCTTATGCCTGAATCTCTTTCCTCTAGCAGCTTCATGCAATAAAGTCTTTGTTTACACACAGAATGGCATTCTGTTATGACTACTACAATTACTGTTGTTATTTGGAAATGTATGTCTTTTTTATCTGCTTTTTCATTATTTGCCAGTCCCAACAGTTATAGAAGTGTCTGTTGTTTGGGCAACAAACATGACACCCAATAACAACATTGTTAGCTTAATGAGTTTGATATTCTCTTTGAATGGTTTAAAACAGTTTATTCACTACAATTCCCATAGTAATACACTTTCCTTTAGGGAAAAATACGTTAGATTCAGACTTCAGAAATGAGCTAGGCCAATAGGGAAACCATGAAATTATTTAAAAGTAGGGCTACAGCTCTGACCTGCAAAAATATGACCCGCCACTAGAGGGTACCACTATTTTTAAAATCCTTATTAACCAGCATGGAAATCAGATATAGGGAATCCTCCACCTACAACAGTTCACAGTTATGACTGTTCAGAGTTACAACGGCACTGAAAAAAGTGACTTAGGACCATTTTTCACACTTATGACCGTTGCAACATCCCCATGGTCACGTGATTTACATGACAACTGATTCACATTTACAACGGTTGCAGTATCCCGGGTTCATGTGATCCCCTTTTGTGACCTTCTGACAAGCAAAATCAGTGGGGAAGCAAGATTCACTTAACAACCGTTTTTCTAATTAAACAACTGCAGTGATTCACTTAAGGAATGTGGTGGCCAAAGTTGCAAAATTGGACAAACTCACTTAACACATGTTTCTCTTAGCAACATGAATTTTGGACTCCGTTGTGGTCATAATTCGAGGACTATCTGTATTCACTTAACATCTAGCCAGGTTAATCCCGAGAATGCCTGGAGCAAGGAATGGTACCTTCTGGCCTGGTTGTTACCCTGTTTCCCTGAAAATAAGACATCTCCTGATAATAAGCCCAATTGGGCTTTTGAGCGCATGCGCTAAAATAAGCTTCGCCCTGAAAATAAGCCCTCCCCAAAAATATTTAAACACAGAGCTGGAAATCAGGTAAGACAGCAAGAGGAGCCCCATCTTGCTCCACGTGCCCCAAAATAATAAGACCTCCCTGAAAATAAGCCCAAACGCTTATTTCAGGGTTCAAAAAAAAATATAAGACAGGGCCTTATTTTTGGGGAAACACCAGGGGTGAAATCTAAATTTTTTTGCTACCGGTTCTGTGGGCGCGGCTTGGTGGTCATGTGACTGGATGGGTGTGGCCAGTTTGACGTCACTCACATCACTCACTGTTAGAGCCAGGAGCTCCACATTCTGACACAGAAGCACATTCTGACTTTCACAGAATGTCTTTCACATTCTGTCTTTCACAGAATGTCTTTCACATTCTGTCTTTCACAGAATGTCACAGAAGCCAGGAGCTGCACAAAAGCTCTCGGTTTGGTGAACTAGCCTCAATCTCTGCCACCTACTCGCCCGAGCCGGTCCGAATCGGGAACATTTCACCCCTGGAAAACACAATACTGATCCCTCTACCAACCACCTGGTTTTAACCTGCTTGCTCTGTCTGGTCGAAATTGAACAGAATTAAGTGTGATGCTGGAAGAAATACCTCTGTCCTATATCAGTGGGGATGGAAAGAATCCCCTTGTTGCGACTGTGGTGCTGATATGCAAACTGTTAAACATATTTCGAGACCGTCTTCTGCCACCAGTCACCTCCCACCGGCCAGTCCGCTTCCACAGAGAGGGTCTCCTCAGGGTGCCATTGGCCAAATTATGTCGGCTGGCGACACCCAGGGGGAGGGCCTTCTCTGTGGGAGCCCCTGCCCTTTGGAATGAACTGCCCCCAGAAATTCGTAAGATCTCCGACCTCCGTGTATTTCGCTGTGCCCTCAAAACCTTGTTGTTCCGCCAGGCCGGGCTATCAATGTAAAGATTTTAATTGGTTTTAAATGTCGGATTTTAAATTTGGGGGTTTTATAATTGAGCCAATGATTTAATAATTTTAATAATTTTTAAATTTTGTCTGTCTTTGTGCTTTTAATCAGGCTGTACACTGCCCTGAGTCCTTCGGGAGAAGGGCGGTATAGAAATTAAATTATTATTATTATTATTATTATTATTATTATTATTATTATTATTATTATTATTATTATTATTATTATTATATTGTGCAAGATTGCCTACCACGTGTGTTCCCTGATTCTTCTATAACAGGGCTGTCAAAGTCGTGGATCGCAGGCCGGATGTGCCGCGCACTGGCCACGCCCACACCTGGTTTAGCGAAGTGGGGGGAAAGATGCAATATGTCATGTGTCGATGGCGTGACGATGCCAGTTTGATACCCCTGCTCTAGAAGATCTGCATGAAGCAACTGCCAGAGGCGATCACCTGCATAGCTGAATTAGGCATCCAATTATGAGGCCACTGCCGTATTCCTGTAGAAGTTTTGCATATAATTATGAGGATTGTATATATATGTTTACTTCAATCATATTCTCATTATAAGCTAAATAAGAGGGCACCCCACTTCCATTACTATATTCTACTTCACTTTCCTGCCATCTGGTGGACCTCGGGAACATTGCAGTCCAGTTATGTAGCCTTAACACAAGGTTGTAGTGAGGAGAATCCCAAAAGGGTGCATAGTAAAACACAACATGGACTAAAGAAAACAGAGTTGCTTACCTTAAACCAAGAGGAGATGAATATTAGTGACTATTTTTGAACAGCAATAGCACTTAGACTTACAGGTGAAACTCGAAAAATTAGAATATCGAGCAAAAGTTCATTTATTTCAGTAATGCAACTTAAAAGGTGAAACTAATATATGAAATAGACTCATTACATGCAAAGCGAGATAGTTCAAGCCTTGATTTGTCATACTTTTGATGATTATGGCTTACAGCTCATGAAAACCCCAAATTCACAATCTCAGAAAATTAGAATATTGTGAAAAGGTTCCATATTCTAGGCTCAAAGTGTTCCACTCTAATCAGCTAATTAAGCCATAACACCTGCAAAGGGTTCCTGAGCCTTTAAATGGTCTCTCAGTCTGGTTCAGTAGGAATCACAATCATGGGAAAGACTGATGACCTGACAGTTGTGCAGAAAACCATCATTGACACCCTCCATAAGGAGGGAAAGCCTCAAAAGGTAATTGCAAAAGAAGTTGGATGTTCCCAAAGTGCTGTATCAAAGCATATTAATGGAAAGTTATGTGGAAGGAAAAAGTGTGGAAGAAAAAGGTGCACAAGCAGCAGGGATGACCACGCCCTAGAGAGGATTGTCAGGAAAAGGCCATTCAAAAGTGTTGGGGACTTTCACAAGGAGTGGACTGAGGCTGGAGTCAGTGCATCAAGAGCCACCACACACAGACGGATCCTGGACATGGGCTTCAAATGTCGTATTCCTCTTGTCAAGCCGCTCCTGAACAACAAACGACGTCAGAAACGTCTTACCTGGGCTAAAGAAAAAAAGAACTGGTCTGTTGCTCAGTGGTCCAAAGTCCTCTTTTCTGATGAGAGCAACTTTTGCATCTCATTTGGAAACCAAGGACCCAGAGTCTGGAGGAAGAATGGAGAGGCACACACTGCAAGATGCTTGAAGTCCAATGTGAAGTTTCCACAGTCTGTGTTGATTTGGGGAGCCATGTCATCTGCTGGTGTTGGTCCACTGTGGTTCATTAAGTCCAGGGTCAATGCAGCCATCTACCAGGAGATTTTGGAGCACTTCATGCTTCCTTCCACAGATGAGCTTTATGGGGATGCTGACTTCATTTTCCAGCAGGACTTGGCACCTGCCCACACTGCCAAAAGTACCAAAACCTGGTTCAATGACCATGGGATTACTGTGCTTGATTGGCCAGCAAACACCATAGAGAATCTATGGGGCATTGCCAAGAGAAAGATGAAAGACATGAGACCGAACAATGCAGAAGAGCTGAAGGCCATTATTGAAGCATCCTGGTCTTCCATAACACCTCAGCAGTGCCACAGGCTGATAGCATCCATGCCACGCCACATTGAGGCAGTAATTGATGCAAAAGGGGCCCAAACCAAGTACTGATTACATATTCATGCTTATACTTTTCAGAGGTCCGATATTGTTCTATGTACAATCCTTGTTTTATTGATTTCATGTAATATTCTAATTTTCTGAGATTGTGAATTTGGGGTTTTCATGAGCTGTAAGCCATAATCATCAAAAGTATGACAAATCAAGGCTTGAACTATCTCGCTTTGCATGTAATGAGTCTATCTCATATATTAGTTTCACCTTTTAAGTTGCATTACTGAAATAAGTGAACTTTTGCACGATATTCTAATTTTTCGAGTTTCACCTGTATATACCGTTTTACAGAGCTTTACAGCACTCTCTAAGCAGTGTACAGAGTCAGCATATTCCCCCCAACAATCTGGGTTCTCATTTTACCCACCTCGGAAGGATGGAAGGCTGAGTCAGCCTTGAGCCTGATGAGATTTGAACTGCCAAATCGCAGGCAGCCAGCAGTCAGCAGAGGTGGCCTGCAGTACTGCACTCTAACCACTGCGCCACCGTGGCCACGGAATAAGTACCATGCAAATTGGGTGAATCCCATCCAAGTTGCATTCCACGATGGACTGAGCCTACATAATGTGTTTGTGTATACGCACACACATGTGTTTGTGTGTAAAAGGAAAAGCTAATTGTCCTGCCACAACATAAACATCCACTGCAGGGAAGGGTAAAAAAAAAGACAAGATGCTGATGAAGCTTCGAAGCCTATTTTACATTGCTCACAAAAAGCAGAGTTTTGATCGTGTAAGTACAAATCTTAATACTGTATGTGCCATCTTATTATAGTTGATCACTTCCTTCCACCCCAGAGATGTCCTACACAAATATCTTTAGAATAGAATAGAATAGAATAGAATAGAATAGAATAGAACAGCATTAATAATTGGAAAACCATACCCAGATGCAGTACGTTAAAATACTCTCTATGGTGCAGCCGTAGAAGGCCACCAGCAGTTTTTCATTCACTTGTTGTTTCCTGAGAAGTCTCAGGTAGTATAATCTC